GGGCGGTAAGACTGCAATTTTCGAAGGGCAAGCTCTTCGAGTTGCACCGTCTCGTATCGATTTTCAGCTCGTTACGATTGGCAACATATTGCGGGGCAATTTTCGTTCCGAGGGTCAGCCATGGAGGATCGCTCAGCCGCGAAAATCCACCGACTCGTGAAAGGAAAATTCATTCTCGTTACGGTCGCCCAGGCGAGCCATGGATGGTCCGAAACCAACAGCTGACAATCCGTGACAGCTTTTTGCTAGACCTTTCCGGTTTACAAGTCCACGTATATTGTCTGCATCCAAGTGACGTTTTCAATCACCGTCGATATCTCCAATTCAATGATACTATGTTTGGAGATAATGAAATCGAGCTGCCTCGTGGATTGAATACCTCTATTGTTACAGTTAACCCTCTATGAGATGAATTAGATGCAAAACTGGGTCGAATTCAGAGATAACGTGTTCGAAATACCATGTTCTCGTTGGTAGATGATACGCACGTCAAATAAAATAATTAACATTAAATAGGTAATTTTGATAAATGAAACATTTTTATCTTGGTAACCTGGAACATAGTCTGAGTCTTTTTTTAATTCAGCTTTCGTTCATAATATGACGCGCAAGGTTTAAAAAAATTGAAATAAAATTTAAGAGCATACGAATGGCGAAGCACCGTGACTGTTACACGCGTCAACCCTGTGTCGTAATTACGATTAATTATCGGCCCGCCAATGAGAGCGCGCAGCCTGGCACTCGAAGCAGTAAAACATCAATGGTGCGCGCGAAACTTGAACAATCGCGTTGTTAATCGAGGTTTCGCGAAAATTTGGCGAGTCGCAGTCGTTGCCAAAAGGGCGAAAGACCGAGAATAAAAGGGCAACAGAGGCGGAGACGAAAGAAAGGGAACCTTTGAGCCGCAATGAAATTAAACGACATTGGGCCTGGACGGTTCTTCCGTTGTAATCGTCCCTTTAATCGCGTTCGTAATTAACCAGTCTGTAACGACATCCAAAGGGGAAACGAACGCTAGTCGAATTGACGATCAAGAAAAAATATAAAATTCATTCCGTTTAATCGAGCTGACACCGCAAAAGCTTTGTCGGATGGGTTAATGAAATTACGTTGCTCCTTTACAGCGTTGCAATTACATTGTCAGTTCGTTTTAACGTAAATTCTCGCGTATCTCCGCTCTGGAACTGCGCGATCCGTTTAATTATCGGTTGCGCAGACATTTCTGTGGACGTAATTGAAAAAACAATTGGAAGTAAAATATTTATCGTTCCCATCGAATTTTTATACTATCTCATCTCGTTAATATTATTTTTGGTAAACCATTGGCGTAACCTCAAATATTTCATCATAATCCGAAAATAGTCCACGTTAAGGTGAATGTTATCTATACCAGGGAGACAGGTTCAGGACCAAAGTAAATGAATAATTAAACAAGGAATGAATTTATATTTTGCTCAGCTATATCATTAGGTCATTTGCTTACGGATTTTTTCTTCTTTAGTTTTAGGAGCAAATTCAATTTCATATGCAAAACCTTTTCCCCTTGAATAGAATGTTTATTCATTCTATGTTTCGACATTAATTTAGCTTCTCTTCAGGTATAATTAAATACATAATTCATTCTTAATCTACAATAATTTAATCACGTCTGAAGAGGACCTGCAGCGAGGCCAAAATGTAGAATGAATAAACATCACACTCGAGCGAGAAAAATTTGCATACCAAATCACTTTAATTTCGTTAATTTCGTAGATTGATCCTGAACGAAAGTTTTACCGAAAAGGTCCCAAATGAGAGGTTGAAGCTTTTAATGAAGATAATTAGAAGTATTATTTTTGGCTGACTCTATTCAAAGCTAGGTAACCCAAGAAATTATAAATAATATATTATCAAAATTGTGCGCTGTTCCAACTATATTCGTTCTAAATTTCATATAAAATTTAATATTTCTCCAGACTTACTCAGGTTTTCTCTTTCACCCGAATATGCCGCAAATCCTGCGTCGTTCATCCTTGCTTTATCATGACCAACTAATTGAGCGCAATTAATTCTTGCACGCATAATTCACAAGTGGGATGGGTAGGAAAGAAATAACGACGTGTCTGTCTCTTCTCACTTGCTCTCTTATCTCCCTCTCGCTCGTACCTAAAATATATATTTGCCTAAAGTAGAGCTACACAGTCGTTTTACATTGAAAAATAACTATGCTTACAAGTAGCCTACGAGGAAGTATTGCACTTTTAATGCAGTTTTCACCATGCCGCGCCGCGGCAGGACGATCGCGATAACGAATCAGGGATTCCTTGGACGCGCGATTTCACAAAAATATTCATCTCTCTCTTCTCGTTTCAACAATATCACGGTTCTAACAGGTATCCTTCGATATATCTATCTGTAACACGACGAACAAACTTTGTCCCTTTGGATCGATCGCTCGACACTCACCCCCGTCCATTTTTATCATTTTGATTCCCGCGATCAACTTTTGATTTCACGCCAATTTTAGATTAGCTGGAAGTGCAACGGATTATCAAAGTGGCTAGCTGTACAGGATTAAAGTAACTCGAAGCTGTGCGCAAACAATCGATACGTTATACCTTCGGTCGCGAGGCTTTGCCGATGGAAGCGTTGGCCAACCACCTCGCAAACGAATACCTCCGCTGATAACACCGGGATTTCTCCTAGAGTGCGCATCGACGAACGATACTGGCACGTGTACAGATTAATTCAATTTCATTCGAATAGTTGCTGGTAAATAGAATCGGTGCGTAGTTGTAGATGATAAAAGGGAAGAGGACTACATTTATCGGTTGAAAACGTTACGAGATTTTTGTGCTAGTATCTTCATTGAAACGCAGAGTTTGCAAGTACAACGACGCAAGGTTCTCGTTGCTCGGAGTATGACGATTTTCGATACACGTTCTATAACAATGCATACGGCTACGCGCACGAGATTTTTGACAGCAGAACCGACACTTGCTCTGTTCCGTTTTCAGTGCGCACATAGCTACGTAACCGCCCAAATAATTGTCGACCTCTCAAGCAGAAATTTCAGTGGACGTCGTTACGCGCAAGTATAATTAAACTGAATCTCGCATACTCAACCGATCCTCCTAAGAGCTCCTTTGGACGAGGCACTCGTCGAGCCTGAGTTGCGAGTACCTCGTTCAAAAATGCTCTAATATTCTCCAACCATAATGCCACGCACAAGACTACGTTTTCCTTATTTGTCTTCGTCGTCGATCGTAATCCAGATTTTATAAAAAGTGAGTCGAATTGGCGACGGCTCGATGCGTGGCGACGCACGTCACGCGCGTCTCGAGCGGGTAGCGACGCGCGTTGCGACGCATCGCACGCGGACCAGTCGAAATTATATCAAAAGGAGAATTATCAAAAAGACACCATTCGAATCGAGTCCTTCCGCCAGATATTCTCTATGTCGGAAGAAGCACCACCTCAGGTATATCGCAGAAGTCTCTAAAATGTCATATAATTTATTTGTATATGTATATAGGTGTGTATATCTCTGTATATATTTATCGTTCATGTGTACGTAAATACAGGATGCGAAAGATCGTCTCGTTATTGGCCAACGATTAAGTAACCGAAAGAAATATTGAAAGACTCGGTGCTGTATCGTGAGCAGTTTTTGTCGTTGCGATTACAGTTACCATCACTTGATTTTTAATAAAAATCACCCCTAGATGGAGGTTACTTATATTACTATGCCTAACGGTCTCAAAGACCTCATGATACATCATGTCCACATAGTTTCTCGCAAAATAAGCCTCTCTCCATTCGTAACAATGACACTACAATGTTCCTCGACCACCCAAACTCGAACATTGACCAGCAACGAGACCGAACCGACCCAGCCTGCACACATATATATATGTCTTTTCTAAATTCAATAACGAATATGTATATGTATATATTTATGTATATATGTATATATCAGAACTTTGGTTTTGTCTTATGTCGACCAGTCGGATCAAAAATACTCGAAAGATACTCGACTCTACGGAGTACACTTTCTAAAGATATACTCTAACCCGTCCTAAAGTCAGGCCATCGTTGGGGTTCAACCCCCTAACTGGCCATTTTGTTGCTCGTTCAATGAAACGTGGGACAAGTCCTTTCGGCTCGCCTCGATAAAATCTGTTAAATCCGTGATCATTCCGTTGCGCCAAACCCTGTACACCAGATTCAGATTTTTGTGCCGAAGAAGGAGAAACATCGTCCAGGTGCTCGTTTATGGGATTGCTATTTTTTTCATTTATAACAACCAGATTGCAGATTCGATGCATTTGTGGCGTCTACCAAAGTTGGGCAGTGAATACTTTGCGATTACTTCTGGAATCATTGCTAAGATCTTGACTTGAGAAAATTCCTCATCTTTATCTTTGACCATTTCTAAATTAGAGTGCATCAAGAGAGTTCCTCGTCTCCCATTCTTTTTTGGAGATCAACCTTTCTTGCCAAGTACGCTTGTAATTTACAATTGTAATAGAATCGTGATAGGGCACCTCGACCGCCCTACGTATGTTTTGCGTGATAATGCACTGCGTTGCAGATTGTCATATATCTTTAACGGTAGCCGATGAAGCGTGGCTGCCTAAAAGGCAGTATTGTGGCGACCATTGAACAAGATCATTAAATTATCTATATTTCTAAACCGATCACTTTCTTTCACTTAAAGTCCTACACAATCATAAATCCGAAATCCGAGTGCATACGTTCTGCATAAGATTTGCATACGTTTTCCACGTTCCCATGTGCCATGAATACAAAGAATCCCCAGTCTGCTAATAACCACCGGATAAATGTTGTTTTTTTAAAAATGTGTCAAAAAGCTTCTCGCGTGGACGTTCTTCGTAGTCTTCGACCTCGTATAAGAATTTTTTTGGTGCAAGGAAGATTGAAAAGTTCGTGCGCGGATTACCCTATGGTTGTTTAACGGTGCAGCTTGCTGGAGATTGTTGAACGACAGACACGACTATTGAACATTCATCGAAGTATTACAAATAGAAAATTGCGACGATTAGAACGCGTAAGAAAAATGCGATCGGTATTGCTTGTTATTATGTGGCGCAACGGAATCACTGTAGGACGCGACATTAACAATCGTTTAAATCTATAAACTATCCAACAGCGTTTAGGAGTAAATACGTTCCCGTACGAAGAGTTTTACGTTTACGTGTTCAGAGGTTGTTCTACGATGTTACGTATTCTGGAAGAAGATCCTTCGCCCTTGTATGCGATTCCGTCTAATTACTTGTGCGATCCCTTGTCGTGGCACACGATGTGAACCAGCCTCAAGTTTTTCAGTGTGAACAGATCGTCGTAAAACTCGTGGATATCCTCCTCTCTGGCGATTCCTTGCGCCGATAGTTCGAGGAGTTGTGGCACCAGAGTCCTGGACCTCTCGATTCTGAAATTCGATTCTCTCAATTCGAAGCTGAGTTAACTTTATTAGTATTTCTACAAGAAGTAAACCTGCGATATCGTCAGCGTAATTCTTACTTGTGATCGAAATTCCACGTGGAGAACAGGATGAGGTCCTCCCTCGACCTGTAAGGGTTGATCTTGTGTCTCTGCCCGTAGACGCAGGCATCGGCTTTCCAGACGCCTCCGCACCTAAATTCACCTTTGGGATTACATATAGCGACGCAAGACTTCCATTCCTTCGTTCGAATCCTGTAAGGACAACTGTCCTCCTCTTCCTCCTGCTCGCCCGTGCTCTCCTTCTCTTCCTCCTGCTCGTCCGTGCTCTCCTTCTCTTCCTCTTGCTCGTCCGTGCTCTCCTCGTTCTCGCTCCTCGAATACACGTTCGAGTTCCTCTCTTGCTTCTTTCTCGTCGTGCCGTCTACGCAGGATTGGTCACTCGTCCCGAACAACCGGAAGTACGTGCTGTCATCGAGTCGGTTCAGCCTGCAGGGGCAATGGTCGTAACAGGTCGACGAGTCCCGCTCGTCGACCGACTCTGTCGAGTGAATCTTCGCGCGACTCCTGTCGAAATAGTAACCGAAGTAGTGGTCCTCTTTCAGCTGCATCTTGAAGAAGGCTATGACGTCGAGCAGCCGCTTCCTCGCCCTGTGATCGTTCGCGAACGTGTCCGACGACTTGATCTGATCGATCGTTTTGTAGAGGTAGCCTCGTATCCTGTCCTGGCATCTGCGATGCATGTACGCCTCCTGAGAAACGAAAGTTTCGTGAGTGGCGAACTTTGATTCCAGCCAGAGGCGTTGCTAGGTATTCTATGCCCTCGAGTGGGAGATTATTTTGATTCGAATGAGTTTCAAACACGGATATCTATTGTCGAACAAAAAATGGAAGGTTTCACCTCCTATTGCGTCACAATTGCCACGTGTGGTTGGAGGTCACAGGTTTGGCAAATTATGACGAACGAGTGAAAAATCTCAAGGTTCGCGGTTTGCTTCCTCGAGTCTTAAGTTTGGATTAACCTTACGTCTCGAGGCAAATGGTGTCGCTTTAGGTGTCGACATCACTCGAGGTCCCAGGTAAATAAGGTCGACGTATGTTGACGTTATAGAAAATTGCTTCCATTTTCTCCGTATTCAGGGTTGGCGAATAATTCAGGGAAATTTCGAAATCATAATTTAAACGAATTTATTGCTCCTATTTATGGCGTGCGTTAATATGGAAAACGTATGCAGCGCGTGCGAGATATACTGTACAAATTAATATAACAATATGAATATTTCATTTTGCATAAGAGCAGATATGTTTGTTTATGCAATCACCGTGTATGCATAAAATCAACAGTCCAGCTGTCACTGATAATGGGTTACAAATGTTCGTTACTTCAAAGATACATTTCTCTCTCTCTCTTAACAAAAATAAAAAATAACTAGCTACGGTACTCCAACAGATCGTTCGATCATTTTTTTCATCGTTATCGAGCGCTAGTTGCAAAGACTTTTTTGGCAAATAAAAAAAAAACACCAATAACAATATAAACACGAATAGCTAATCGAATTTGGTCGATAGATTTCATTTTAATATGAAATGGTAATTGGTAATGTAATTTCTTTTGGCAGCGCGGAATTGAATTGCTGTTATTGTTCCGTGCTATATCAAATAGCAGCTCGATCATTCGCGCGAATCTATCGATGTTAATTTATACCAATCTGGATACCGATATATCCCACTTACGGGGATGCATTAGTTCAGGCTGTCGATGCTAAAATAAGGCAAAATCGAAATCGCCCTGAATCTCTAAATTCCGAAGGGAGGAACGGCTGGAATGATCCCGATGTTGATCATAAGGAAGAAAGAAGGTCAAAGGCGGGGGATCGGTGTGAAAGGGGAAGCTAGACCGCGTATTTTACCAGCAAAGCTAGCTGATCCTGGCCTTAGACGCGAGGATATTCGGTATTAGGAGGGTAGCTATATAGAAGAGATGGTTAGACGTGGAGCCTGCGGGAAACAGGGATTTCCTGATAGTGATGAAAGGATTGTGGCGGTGATCGAGAGATATCCGTTACATTCATCGTATCTCCCAGATTATATCCGGCGTTATTCACGCCAGAGAAATGATGGTGCTTCCGAGATCTTTGCAAAACGACATTAACCTCTGCGCAGTGTTTCGATAAATCTTCGTAGATGGATATTACGTGGCGCAACGTTACTTTCAAACTAAAGAGAAAATGTTAACGTTGGTATTAACATTATAAATGCCCTAAAAAAATTTTATCTTGAAATCTTTCCCAGAACTTTACGAACAAAGAACACCCCGTGCAATAAGTATTAGACAGACAGGCATTCGGGGTAGAGGCGATAAAAACGGATTGCACGCGAACCTGACACGCGGGCAGATACCGATAACGATCCAATTAATTATACCGTAGAACCGTTAGGCCAAAGGGTCGAGATTTCGAGCTGAAACTTGACGCGCGATAAATGGCAACCTTGCGGAATTAAAGTGGAGGCGCTGTAACGTTAATTAGTCTGAGCGATATTGGACGTTGCAGGGCAAATTCGCTCTCGTCAAATTGCATTATACTGTCGACATTGAGTGCCATATAATACTACGCGCGAGAGTGATTCACGGTGGACAATGTCCCCAAGGTTTTCGTCGGCTATTTCGTTTTACACATGTGCAAACACTTTGCATATATTTGCATATATTTCTTATATTTGCGTACGCCACGGATGCATGAAATCTACAAAATAATATTTATTACATTAGTCGCGCGTGCACAGACCTCCGAAAAATGTCCCAAAAATGTGAAACTATCGAAACTTGTTTACGCAATGTGATTTCAAGAAATGGACATTCAAACTCTACTTAACTGTTACATAGTTTACGCGGGATTTTTAAACGAGCACCCGATGACAGACTTTATGTCGCTCAGCAGAGATCACGTAGTTTCTTAATCCTAATAATAAATTGCATAAAGAAATTGAGCGTGAATACAACCGTACCGAGTCCTGGATAGAAGCTATTTTATAAAGCAGCGGCCCTTAACATTTTCGTCTCGCGACACGGTTTGAAAAGACGATACATACATTTCTTTTGGACTCGCGACACAGTTTGGAAATAGAAAGGCCTGACACAGTTCTTAATTCTGAATAATTATAGCAACGAGAGACACACGCGCGGGGTAAAAACAATCCCCCAATGACGAAAGACTCACTTTGGTCGTGTAGTTGGTCTCCAATCCGCGGAACCACTCCGGATGCTCGTCCCTCGCGGTGAGCGCAGTCTTCGAATCGTCTTTGTTCAGCGCACTATTTAAAATGGCGACCTTCGCCTTAAGGTTTTCCGTAAGGAACTCGGACGCCTTGTAGCCAGCAGCCAGGAAATCGATGTTGACGCGCCTCAAGGCGTCGTACAAGAGATCCGCATCTGTAAGCAAACGTTAGGTCTCGAGAAGCTGTATTCCACGATCAGACTCGAAGGCCTGGCTCTACATCCTTCGCTGGGCAAATGTTTATAGCCGAGGATGCACGATAATGGCTCGCACGATCGTCGAATTGTGCTCAAATAACCCACGAGTGGTGGAACCTTTGACACTTGGAGCTCCCTTGGAAAATAATTAATAACGTCGTTCAGGTCTCTAAGAAGTCGTCGTTTAGAAGATGTAGCTACAGCCATGTCAGAAATAGTTTAAATCTAAGAAAGGAAAAACAAGTCTTTGACTTTGATCGTTAATATAATATACTAACCGCTCAACACTTTCTCGCCAGGCTTTTGGACGATGAGCGTCGTCTGAGGTTCCAGCGTGCAAAAATACTCCTCGTCGATCAGCGTTCCGTCGAGCAGGAAGACATTGACTTCGTCGATGTGGTTCGTTATCTAAAGACATAAAACACTTCCTTGGTTCGGCTTCCACGCTTAGGGGCATTTATCTCGTCCATCAACGTTTCATTTCGAACCTCCAATCGCTTTTAGTCACGACTGGTTACCGAAATCCTCGCGTGGAACGTGATTTATCACGTGCGATTAGTTCACGTTTCCATCGAGAGACGATTTAGTTTTCTAATATCATTCTATACTTGTTACGCAATCTCGTGTTTGCACTCGCATTAACTACTTCAATTCACGAAACCCAGAGCGATATAAAATATTACAAAAGTTTTGCTCATCGTGTTCTGTATGTATAATATTTCATTTCAATTCGTTATGCTGGTAAAATATAAATAAAGTTTATTGGAGTTTATTTAGATTGCTTTAATTTCACATTCAATTACGAAACAATAACCGGTGACATAAAGTCGTTTCTGTGTAAAATTGACAGTCAACAATGAGTTAAAATTGTATAGAAAAAGTGCCTCTCGTTTCAGGTAAAGGTTAAAAGTTTGGTCGTGCGAATGGTTGTCGAGTAGGAAGAGCTCCACGGGAGGTCCCAACCCCTAGGAATGACAGCCGCGTGCGCGTCTAGGAGCGAATCGATGGGGTAGAGATCGAAAAATCTTGGCTCGGCTAGGGAGGGTTGGCCGCCAGTCTGGCTTTCGGTCCAGCGGACTGACGACCTTGACATTGAAGCTACTCCTTGCTCGTGGCCCGGCTGGTTCGATAGAGCTGCACGCTGCAGGCGAATAGAATCTGGCTCCAAGGTCGCGTCGCAACCAGATTAACTTAGCCGCGAAACGTGCGTAACTAACGCTTCGTGTAAACCTTCATCCTCTCTGCCGTCCGCCTTTCTACTGGTAATTAGACTGACTAGCCCTTGTTGACTTCGGCCATCGCGATTTCCAGAGCACACGGACGAATTACTGCGCGATGCGCAAGGTAGTTGCGCGAAAGGCTATTCACCGTCTACTATCCTTAGTTTTTCGATTCGTCTGTCGTCTACAAATGTATATTCTATAAATTAATGGAATATGTTGTGAATAAACTGCACGTTCATGGGTGAATGAATGAGGTATCAGGTTTATCGTGCAACCACATCCATGTATAACGAATCTTTCCAATATTCGCGCGTTAGTAATACTTGATTGACCTATTTTCCAGAACGAAATAATTCATAAAATTATATTCCATCAGAAATCATTTATTTCCTCCAGCGTATCAGCTCTTATCGCGATACGAAACAAGATTCAATTTTTTCGTTTTTCATGTATCATACAAACGTATCATGGTCGTTTCCAATTGGTCGTAAATGGCAATTTGTTTCAAAAATGAATTTTAATTATTCCTCTGGGATATGGGAACCCAGCGTTCGCTTAAGCTCAAGCTTTAGCTCAAGCTTTGGACACATCCGTGTATCCGTCCCTTTTATTTTTCATTTAGATTATAATTCCATTCGAAATCGTCTCCCGTGCAGTTTCAAGTGGATTACCTTGAACGATCTCTTTCAACATTTCATTTTTTTTTTTTACAATTTCCTCTGGGTTTCTCTTTTGACTCGATTTCCAACGGACTGCTACAATTTCATAAGCCGACATTCGATACAGGCTACGCTACCGTATTCCTTTCTGATACTAAATCCATTTTTATATTACTAATTCTCCCAGCGGAAAGTGTACGAAAAATGTGCTTTTACGAATCGTTAACTCAGAATTCCAGGATCGCGGATCGTGTTAATAAAACTTCCAAGGGAACGTCGATATTATCTTCTCCTGATTCGTCTTTGCATAAACACAGAAAGAAGCTTTAACGTGAAATTAACTTGGACGTCATCCAGTCACCGAGGGCTGTCGCGTACTCCATTATTCGGACAAACAAGCCGTACAGCTCCGGTGCCCCGAATATTTTGACGAATAATTTAATTAAGGACGTTGATTTCCGTTCGGATCCGAAGGAAAGCGAACGCGTTCCAAGCGGTCGGAGCTGCGGTGTGCGCGAAACGGCGATAGTAAAATTGGGGTGGCACGGTGAATGGGACGAGTCTTAACCAATTTTCGCGTACATGACGTGGGGTTGGCCTGTTTCCGGATCGCCCGGAACGAAATCCCGATATGGCGACAACGCGATGGGTCTGGGCGTTACAATTCTCCTGGAGCCGCTGTATAGATCAGCTGCGAGGCATTTATGACCCAGTTTCAACCGGCAACTTTTATTATAACATGTAAAAGCGCGGCGTCGTGCCGCGATACGGTTTTCATCCGACGTGGAACGAATCGCTAGGAAATAACTTGGCACGGTTGGGAACCGGACGGGATCGATCGATTAAGCAAACGTCCGCCAGCGGCGATCGATGACTCGATACTCACGTTCAGTTTCGCGCAGACTTTCTGTTTCAGTTCCGGGAGAGTGCTGCAGGCGACGCCGAACTTCCGCGTGCGGTTCACGTCGGTGACCTTGAACCCCTCCACCTGGAACACAACCCAATTACTGCGGTTTCGATAGCATCCAGAACCGAAACTCGGAAACGTAATTAAAGACAACAAAGTCAGGTAGTTCCAGGTGCAACTGCACGGTTAAAACTTCGAAAACAAAAACCTCTCTGTCCTTGAGCAAAATTTGGCGCGTGTCGTCCCGGATCCGTTAACTGGGCTCTTCGGTGGAGCTTTACCCAGCGGTCTCTGCGTTGGACAGCTTTCACGTGCATTGTTACGTTATTCATGAAGAACAGCTGTTCAAACGAAACGCGATTTGTGCCCTGACTCATTGTTTATTATGCACGGATAACGTCTAATCTTAGATTCCTGATTCGTGACAGTAACACAATGCGGGAGCGGCAAACTTATGGCCGTTCCGATGCAATCGAGTGCATAGAGAAATGTACCGTAACAGCGATAGTGCATTAGTAATGCGCCATTGTAGGTCGCTGCACAAGTCCTCCTCGCGCAACAATTTGTTCAGCCCTCCCCTATAAATAACTGCCACGCATATTCGCAGCAAATCGAGTTCGTTAAATTCAATAAATTCTAACGATAAATCATTTCCCTCCCGTGACGTTCGCAAAAACTAACTAGTATTCGTGTACAACGTTCAAAGAAGTTATCACCCGCGAATTAGCATTTAATGAAACGTTCGCCAGAGGGAACGGACATAGAAACGGACAGTTTCATTAACGTGCGAACGAACCGATTTTTAAATGCCAAGGTCCCTTTTCATTTTCATTCCTACGATCTTTTATTTTCGTGCGATTTGTTTCGTTCAAAATGACATTTGATAATAAATCTGAATAGGATTCGTGAATTTGGCGAGTTTCAAAAGTGAAAGACTAGAACAAATATTAAGTTATCCGATCTTTAATAGTCTCGAGACAAAATATTAAATCTGTAGGAATTCTCACGAGATTTATCCAGACAGCGAACGTGTTACAACTCTCTGCTTTTCGCATTTTTTGAAAACATACTAGAGTTATATAACTCGAGACCTACATATGGGATAATATCTTGGTCAATTTCTCGAAGCGATACTAGTTAATCGCCGCCCATGAAAGTAAACGTTAAAATAATTTTTTGGAAAAAAAATTTAACCGACTTCAAAAAAAGTACAGTGAAAAGTATGAAATAATTTTTAGTTAATTTATATGAATACGCACTTGCTCTAGATATAATTGTTTAAAAGTATGGGAAAATGCAATGAAAAACATGAAATAATTTCTAGTTAATGTATATGAATCTGCATTATCGACCGAGCACACTGCATTACCGACCGAGTAACCTGCATTACCGACAGAGTAATTTGCATTACCGACCGAGCGCTCTACATTACCGACCGAGTAATCTGCTTTATCGACCGAGTAACCTGCATTACCGACAGAGTAATTTGCTTTACCGACCGAGCACTCTACATTACCGGCTGAGTAATCTGTATTATCGACCGAGTAACCTGAATTACCGACAGAGTAATTTGCATTACCGACAGAGTAATTTGCATTACCGACAGAGTAATCTGCATTACCGACCGAACACTCTACATTACCGACCGAGTAATCTGCATTACCGACAGAGTAATCTGCATTACCGACAGAGTAATCTGCATTACCGACCGAGCACTCTACATTACCGATCGAGTAATCTGCATTACCGACCAAGCAATCTGCATCATCGACAGAATAATCTGCATTACACAGATTATTTAGTCGCTAAAGCAAATTACTCTGTCGGTAATGCAGGTTACTCGGTCGATAATGCAGATTACTCGGCCGGTAATGTAGAGTGCTCGTTCGGTAAAGCAAATTACTCTGTCGGTAATGCAGTGAGCTCGGTCGGTAATGCAGATTACTCAGTCGGTAATGTAATGTGCTCTGTCGGTAATGCAGATTACTCTGTCGGTAATGCAGGTTGCTCGGTCGGTAATGCAGTGTGCTCGGTCGATAATGCAGATTCATATACATTAACTAGAAATTATTTCATGTTTTTCATTGCATTTTCCCATACTTTTAAACAATTATATCTAGAGCAAGTGCGTATTCATATAAATTAACTAAAAATTATTTCATACTTTTCACTGTACCTTTTTTGAAGTCGGTTAAATTTTTTTTCCAAAAAATTATTTTAACGTTTACTTTCATGGGCGGCGATTAACTAGTATCGCTTCGAGAAATTGACCAAGATATTATCCCATATGTAGGTCTCGAGTTATATAACTCTAGTATGTTTTCAAAAAATGCGAAAAGCAGAGAGTTGTAACACGTTCGCTGTCTGGATAAATCTCGTGAGAATTCCTACAGATTTAATATTTTGTTTCGAGACTATTAAAGATCGGATAATTTAATATTTGTTCTGGTCTTTAACTTTTGAAACTCGCCAAATTCACGAATCCTATTCAGATTTATTATCAAATGTCATTTTGAACGAAACAAACCGCACGAAAATAAAAGATCGTAGGAATGAAAATGAAAAGGGACCTTGGCATTTAAAAATCGGTTCGTTCGCACGTTAATGAAACTGTCCGTTTCTACGTCCGTTCCCTCTGGCGAACGTTTTATTAAATGCTAATTCGCGCTTGATAACTTCTTTGAACGCTGTACACGAATACTAGTTAGTTTTTGCAAACGTCACGGGAGGGAAATGATTTATCGTTAGAATTTATTGAATTTAACGAACCCGATTTGCTCGGTCGGTAATGTAAAATGCTCGGTCGATAATGCAGATTACTCTGCCGGTAATGTAGAGTGCTCAGTCGGTAATGTGGCGTATTCGGTCGATAATGCAGATTACTCTGTCGGTACCGGAGAGTGCTCAGTCGGTAATATAGCGTGTTCGGCCGAAAACACAGGTAACTCGGTCGATAATGCAGATTACTCTATCGGTAATGTAGAGCGCTCGCCCGATAACGCATATTACTCTGTCGGCAATGCAGAGTGCTCGGTCGAGAGTGCAGGGTGCTCTGTCGGTAATGTAGAGTGCTCGGTCGATAACACAGGTTACTCTGTCGGTAATGTAGAG